GCGTAAGTGGCCTTCCACTTGGTGTAGCCCTTGGACAGCGGCACGTGCAGCAGCCGACCCACCACGTTCCGAATCATGTTGCGCTTCTCCTTACGCTCCTCGTACTCGCCCCTGATGGCCTCCCAGCCCTGTTTGATGATGCACCACACACACACACGCGCACACACACGGGGGGTGTGGGGGCTGCAGCGGGGCTGGTGACTGACCCTGCAGACAGCCGAGTTGATGATCTTCTGCACGCTGCGGTGCAGGAGGTCCACCTTGCTGAGGTCGCGCAGATGCCTGCAACACACACACACACAGAGAGAGAGATTCTCGCGTGTGTCGGTTGGGACTCACGAGCCCGCACCGCCCCGCACCGACCGTGCCGTCAGAATGGCGGTCTTCCAGGCCTCGGCGTGCTGGAGCTCGTGTGTGTAGAGGTACATGTAGCCGTAGGTCCTATCGCCGCTCTTGAAGACGCGCTGGGGCGACAGCACCTTCACACGGTACTGGTCGACCCATTCAACGAATCACACACACAGGCAGACAAAGAAGTGAGTGACACACACACACACACACACACACATGGGGAGCGCCAGGCTGACGCACGCACCTGGAATTGTTTGCCGGCGGCGTCTGAGAGGAATGGGGGGAAAATCTTCTGGCCCGCCGTGTTCTCCTCGATCTTCAACTTCTCCGGATCAACCTTCACACACACAACCGCACACACACCCACACAGCCACACAACCGCAGAGAGGGAGGTAGCCCACGAGGCTTTGTCTCTTTCTCCCTCTCCCTCTGTGTGTGTGGGGGGTGGGCTGGTTGGGGCGGTTGGGCGGCTTTGCTTACGTCTTTGATGTCGTAGACCTTTTTCCGCTCTCTGAGTGCGTCAGCGGGCGGCTCCTTGCTCTTGAAACAGGAGATCTTCCCCTTCTCCATCCGGAAATACCGCGGCCTACACACCACACCACAACACAACACGCCACAGCACAGATCTTCTGTGTGTCGGTGGGTATGGTGTGTGGTAGGGGGGGTGGGGGGGGCTGGCTGACTTGATGCCCTTGGACTTCTTGCCCTCCTTGCCCATGAAATCTCGTTTTGTGGCCGAGAAGGCCTCGTCGGCGGCCGACGACACCGGCACGGGGCCGTCCGGCTCCACGCTCACCGTCTCTTTGCCTTCACGCAACGACCTCAAACTCCGCTCCTGACACACACCGGTGGATGCACACATGCCATTTGGTGGGTCTGTGGGTGCTTGGCGTCAGTCACTCACCTCATTGAGTATCTTAGATTCGGTCTCCCTCTTCGCCGCCGGGTCGTCGTGAGGGAGGGCCTTCTTGGTGTCCTCGAGAGCTATCCAGGCCGGCACACATACACTCATGGTGCACACGCACAGGTGTTGTGTTGTGTTGTGTTGTGTGGTGTTGCGTGTGTACCCTTGATCTTGTGTTGGCACGCTGCGATGGAGAGGGCGGTCTTGAGCTTGCGACGGTACAAGGTGTCATCCCTCTGCACACACACTCACACACGACACATAGGGTGGCTGTTGTGCTGTTGTGCACGTGTGTGTCGGGGGTGAGGTGTCTTTACCAGTTTTTTGCCCTCTTTGTCTTTGGTCTCCTTGACGGTGCCCTTGAGCCACCCCGCCGACACCTCCACATTGCTCTTCTCGCCATTGCTATTCCTAAACACAAACTGAGTCTTCTCGCCCGGCTTCTGCACACACACACACACACACAGACATGCAGAGAGGACGCCATCTTTGGGTGCATTGGATGCATGCACACGCGCAATGTGTCAGGTGTGAGCAGGGGTCACACCCATACCTGCCCCGCCGGCCGGGGCTGCGACCCGGAGGACCGCGTGCTGCAGCAAGCACCAACCAGAAAAGACGCAGGAAGTTAAGAAATACGGCAAGGAGGAGGCTCATGTGTGCGTGGGTGGCCAGATGCGGCACCTCCCGCACACACATGCGCACTGGGGACACCTCCACACCCACTGGCCATGCTGCCAACACCCTGTGTGCCGTGTTTCTTACGTCATTTTGGATGTGAGCTGCGGTCAGATGGTCCGGTACGTCCTCACAGGCATCCCAACACGTGCATTCCCCCTCATCTCCTCTATATCATCGTCCGCGAGCGTGGATGGCGATCCGTTCTTCGTTGCGAGCTTAGAAGAGGCAAAGGCACGAGACGAGGCGGCTGCTGCAGAGCTGTTTGTGAGTCTTGCTTGTTGTGTGAGTGATTTGGTTGATTGAGGCGTGCGAGATGAGCACAGTGGAGAAGAGCAATGACCTCAGCAAGAGCAACATCGTCTACTTCTATGACGGTAGGTAGCTCACTCACAGCCAAGCCAAGCCAAGCCACACAAGCAAACAGGCAGATCCACTCCACTCGACGCCCACGCAATGTGTCAGCGACTCACTTTCTCTGCATGTCCTGTGTGTGCTGTGTGTTGTGTGTGTTGTGACTGTGTCAGAGATGGTCGGCAACTTTCACTATGGCTACGGCCACCCGATGAAGCCGCACCGCATCAGGATGACACACGATCTCGTGCAGTCTTACGGACTCCTCGATGGGCTCAAAGTCGTGGTACTGCACACAAGCACAGCACACCCACACACACCCTGGCGACTCTCTGTGCCCATGGACGGACTCCTGTGTGTGCAGGAGCCGAAGCCGCTGACGTTCACCGACTTCACCAAGTTCCACACGGACGACTACATTGAGTTCCTGCAGTCGGTCACGCGGAGGAACCAGCAGGAGCTGGGCGACCAGATGCAGCACTGTAAGCGAAGCACACACGCGGTGGTCGCCGTTCATTCGTGTGTCGTCTGCCTGGATGGATGGATGGATGGATCGTGTGTGTCATCAGTCAATGTGGGTGAGGACTGTCCCATCTTCGACGGGCTTTACGACTTCTGCAATATCTACTCGGCGGGGTCTGTCGGTAAGGCTGCTAGCAGCCACCCACCACTGCAGGAACTCCGGTGATCTGTGTGTGTGTGTGTGTGTGTGTGTGTGTGAAGGTGGTGCCAACATTCTCAACCACAACAAGGCGAGCATCGCCATCAACTGGGCCGGCGGGCTGCACCACGGCAAGAAACACGAAGCCTCAGGTACCCCCCCCCCCCCCCCC